TGGGTATGGCTGGCTGACGACGGCTAATAAGCCAGAAATGGCCATTCCAGTCTCCCTTGTCTTTGTCGGTAATACCATTTCTGCCTATATAGATAGATATATATATATTCCTTCAGGAAAGGACACACCCATTTCTTGGCCTCCCGAAGCAAACAAGCTTCGTATGAGTGATAGGGTTTACGAACATTCAACCGCCTACCAGGTGGAAGTCGGCTAATCTATGAAAGCAAAGGGGAGACGACAAAGTCCCGATTTAGGCCTGTGATGCAGTTTATTGTGGTCAAGCGGGAAAATCCGCCTCAACACGCACTCACGAATATCAACTAGTAGTAAAGAGGCCAGACCACCCGGCTTAAGTAGCCAGACATACCCAGGACACCAGACGCACCTTCGCTCGGGACAGAAGTCAGATTTTCAGTGCCTGCCTTTTCAAGAAAGCCGAAAGTTCCTCTTGGCCAAGCACTCGGAAGAAACATCCATTAACCGACATATCGAGTTGTACGCCGCGAAAAAAGTCTTAGGGGGAAGTGGAAGAGACGAGCGCCAATCGGAAGGGAATGACAGCGGTCGCCTACGGGCACAAAAGCCAACAATTATCGATTTTCGAGTGCACTGTCGGACATTAACTGTTGCCGGCATATTTTTTCCCCGCCTGGGTCTGACGATGGCCTGAAGAATCGGCGTCGAAGATTTGCGCAATCAAGTTCCCTTTTTCCAAATGTCATCTACCGCATTCCGAGTGTGAACTGTTCTTGCGATTATGTTTGTCGTACAGGCCGACGACTTGGAACACGTATAGACGAACATAAATTAGCCATCCGCCGACGTGACCCTTTGTCACTCATGTTTGCGCACGCCCTTCAATGCAACCATCGCTGCAATTAGAAAGGAAGTGAGGTTATTGCCATGGAAAACACCAGACGGGCTCGAGAATTCCTCAAAGCCTAACTCACAAACACAACCAGCATCAATCGCCATGTCGATCTTGACCCTCATTACGAAGGTCTGCGTGCCCGGCTCATTGACTTGCGCCCACGACCTGAAAACGGCCGTTAATCCACACTGGGCCATGTATAATCTCACTATTTCGCTACCCCCCTCCCCCCGACACAGCGAACCGCACCTTGGCGCACAGACCCCTGCCCCCATGTCGGACGACGACCACTAAGTCCACTGTCTGCAGTCTCATTGGATCATCATCCCCCCTACCCTCCAACACGGGGAGCTGCAACAGCTCCCCCCTCCCCTCCACCGTCCCAGATCCTAGCCTACTTATGTGCCCACCCCGTTCACACACTAGTTGTTTGTATGTTAGTGGCTGTCCTGCCGCGCCAACCAATTTAGTGTGATAATTTTACTTTCTTCCCTGTTTATTTCGGCTGACGACGGGTTGACTTCACCAGCTCGAAAATTCACGAGTACAACTCGATCTTTTCCAAAGAGCCTACTATCTTCTTCGCATATATGAGTAACTGGTGTAATATGCATTCCGAGATGATATGATAAAAAAGTGAAGGTTCTTCGGAAAATCGAGTTGTACTCGTGAATTTTCAGGTTGATGACACCAGCCCGTCGTCAGACGAAAGGAAGATAAGGGAGGAAGTGATTCTCACACTAAATCAGTTGCTTCGACAGGACAGACATTGATAAGCAGAGCATTGGCACGTGGGAGATATGCGGTGGGCAAAGGTAAGCGTAGTTTTCTGAACTGTGGGAAGAGACTAGAGGAGAACAGTTAGGGCTGGAGAAGGAGAGATAATAGGCTAACGGGGCTGCGCACGGGTAATTTGGCAGCCGCTGGTGCGACATGGGGGGGGGGGGTCGGGCTCATTGAGTTTTGATCGCAGGCCCTCATAATGGGCGCCCAGATCGACATGGTGGTTGATGCTTTACGTGATATAATGCCAAAATTCGAATGATTTTCTCGACTATCTGGCGTTAGTCATTACGATCACTTCAGTTCCGTCACAAGCGAAGTGGTAATCACACTCAGGGGTATGCGCAAACGCGAGGGACGGGGTGTCACGTCGACCGAGGGCTAAGTTATGGAAGACGAAGATGTGATCTCTGGAACAAGAAAGTTCTTGGCCTGACGTTTCGGGTTCTCACTCGAGCAATTATCCCAGTGACAGTGAGCCAACTTGCCGAACCATCGTCACACCAGCATCCAACACGGATGACGAAATCACGGCAATTAACGACTCGGACGCGGACTGACAAGCCATCGTCGCATCATTTACGACCCCAGTGGCGATTGTGATAACTGTTAATTGCACTGCGCATAGGACCCCACGACGGCCACATGCTATAGGCACTGCACTCCTTGTGTCACCATTACCCTTATCTGCGACTGTTTCTGATGATGGGTTCGAGAGAGAATCCGAAACGTCAGGCCAATAATTTTTTTGTTGAAAAGTCAAATTGGCGAACACGTGTTTTCAGTAACTCTTCATCAGGCCAAAACGGTTACAATGAAGTTTAAGTTATGCGAGTTCCAGTGGTCACGTCTTCTCCTTCTGTGCTGCTTCCTGGAGCCCATCTGTTGGCTCCTATCGGCTAAGTTATGCTCGGTAATGCGAGTTCCTAGACGTCTGCCAGTATGACCATTGTAAACAGAAGAGCAGTTGGCGCACAGGATGCGGCAAATGACATGAGTTAGAGCCCTTTGGGTATGGAGTCCTTTACTCGGCATAATGGTGCGTGTAAGGAGGGAGCGGGCCTGTGGGCGCCCAGCTCTCAGCTGTACCTCTACGAAGCCGTGATCAGCACGACGGCTAAACCTCGGTCACTGCTCTTGACCAGCAGTCCAAATCACTCGAGTGTCCGACATGTGTATCTTTACACCCGGTGGTCCTCTAACTAGTTGCAAAATCCCCTGTTCACCCTGAGCAGAAATCCTATGGGGAGGTCGACATGCCACCCCGTAGACGGACCCGGCTAACTCGGGTCGCCTTTCCACGATACACAAATCATGGCCCTTTGGGGAATCCGGATTGCGTGGCGGTTCTCATTAAGGGTAGCACTGCTGAGCTCCTCACGGATGAGAGTGTTCGAAAAGATGCCCTCAAAATTGCCGTTTAAAAATACCGTCGGCATGCTGACCGTGGATTGTGGACGTCGATAACGACGATCGAGAAATTATAACAACCTCTATCCCCATCCCCATGCCTCCTCAATGCTAACAGACTAAAAATGTTTATTCTGGAATGTTTGTCCCCATCTAGAACCGTCCGGACAGAAGGATAACTCTGACCACACGCGAACCGTCCGTTACAAAGCAGACATTCTTCTGGAACGGCCAAAGGGCAGAGCGATGAGAAAACGGAGTTGACCTCGCCATCAAGAACGTCATCATGAGGTGACTGCCATGCCTGCACAGGGTGTCAATAACCTTCTCGTGACAACGGGCTGCCACTCCGTGGGAATAAATTGATCACCAATGTCAGAGCCTATGTTCTTTCATGCACCAATTTCGATGATGTGAAGAAGTTCTACAAAGACCTGCGAACTCTCCTAACAACTGTACAGAAGACGGACAAGCTGCTTGTCCTTTGTTACCTTAATGTTGACGTCTACACAGACCATACTGCCTGGGAGAGAGTGTTCGGGGACTCATACCAAAGTCAAAATTCAATGGAAGGGGTTGTGGGATACCATCCAAGCCTCCCGGCCGCGAACTCGGTATTGGTTTGATGACACTGGCGAAGAAATCCGTACACACCGCACTGCAAAACACAGTCTACAGACGACCTACACTGTCGGCAGTGCAACTTCAATAAAACCGCATACTTCCAATTCCAACGACTAGTTCAGCAGAAGCTGGGAGAGATACAAAGTTCAGAAGATCCATGGATATGTCGACCGTGGTGAGATGAAAATTCTCCACTGCCATGTAAATGGCCTATGATCAACAAGTCAAAGAGACTGGGCCATTAGTAAGCAGGTGGGAGCAACCCTTCTGACGCGAAAATCACAGATCCTACAGCACTGGCCCGCACACCTTCAGGACGTTCTAAATCACCCGTTGAGAATCGCGAGGAACCCATCAACCGACTTCCTTAAGTAAGCACCAAGAACGACCTTGATCCACTGTCCCGTCTCATTGAGACAATCAGCTCAATGCAGCAGCTGCCCAGAGAAAAATCGCCGGGGACGGACTTAATTCCAGCCGAAGTCTATAAGTACGTCACCCCACAAGCTATGGAAAAGCTTACCTCGCCAATAACGGAGATGTGGCGACAATGACACCTCCTCATACACTTCAAGGATGCCAACATCGTGTGCATCTACAAACGTAAGGAAAATCGGCAACTGCGTGATAATCACATAAGCATCTGCCCTATTGACATCGCAAAAGCATTTATATCCGTGTTTTACTCAACCAGCTGAATACGTATCTGGAACGGAGATTTCTAGCAGAAACTCGACCCAGGATCTGAAAACATCTCAGAAGCACAGACCTGATATTTGCAACCTGCGAAATACAGGAAAAGCGTCAGGAAGTGAAGAATAACCTCTCCGCCATACTCTTCGATCTTACGAAGGCCCTCGACACAGTAAATCGTGACGTTCTCTGGGACATCATGCTTAAATTGGAATATCTAGGGGAATGATGGCTCGCGTCACGGACAACAGGACAATCCCCGAGGCCGTCGCTGTGATTAATGGGGTGAAGCGGGGCTCCGTACTCGCCCCATCCTATTTAGGCTTATTATCTGCGTCATGTTGAAGGGCGCTTTTTTGAAAAGCGGCCGGGGTGGACATCAAGTGTCAGCAAAAATGTCTCCGCATGAGTTTCATCCGGCTGCGATCATTCGGTTAAGAGCGGAATATCGATTAGCGCCACAACATTGGCGGGGGTTATAATTCACAAGTATGCAGTCTAGGACAAGCGAAGTCCACATAACTCAGCGCCGGCGCTGACGACCATCAGAGCGAGCAGCTTAAACACCCCCCGCTTAAATCGAGGACAGCATGTAGAGACATTAAATTGTCCATGTCTAAAAAACGTGAGTAATCAGACGGTCAGAAAAGTGGACACGGAACCCACTACGTGTGACACAGACGGTAGAGGCAGCAGGAGAGGTCTGAGTGCGTGCCGCGGAGGAAGAGTTGGAGGGGGTGGTGGTGGTGGTGGCGGCGGCGGCGGCGGCGGCGGTGGATGAGGGTACAGATGAAGGCGCAGGACATGGCGGGGAGTCGGTGGACGATATAGAGGGACTTGGAGTGTCGAAAATGGAAAGAGCAGAAATAGGGAAAGCAGAGGAGCGTGGGGCATGGAGTCGGCACATTTTTTGTCCTTGAGGCAGGTCCGGCGGTTGGTCTGAGACATTAGCTTTGGCCCGATCGATGCTGGCCACGTCCTCCTTGCCACCGCGGAAAATCCAACAGGTTTTAGTTGCGCGTGAGATTCCTGGGGACGGTCCTTTGGATGATGATTCCAACGGCTTGCGGAAACGGTCACACCGAAAGAATACTCGAGTGCAATCGGCCGGCCCTTTCTCGACACAGGAGTCGATCGATGGAGTTTACGCGGGACAGGGGGAGCAAACGCGTAAATTGACGCAGGCGATGCACAAAGTTGTCAGGGGTCTCATCGGCCTCAGCAAAGATGACCATTTCACTTGGCAGATGGGGGAGTGGTGCCCGACGCCAATTCGGCTGTGCCACAGCCCAAATCCGTCTTCAGTGTAGCTCGAATGCCAAAGGAGTGCACAGGGTAGATGGTCAGACCAGTTCGTCGGGTCCTCTGCTGCAGGTTGTTCGGTCTTTAGCTAGCGGCGAAAATGCCCAAATGTGCTGTTGGCAGCTAGGTGGTAGGACGCTGTGCAGACAAAAAAGTTGAGGAGGGATTGGAAGAGGACACACTCGAACGGGGCACCTCGGCTAGTCGCAAACGTTGAAGGATTCGCCGAAAATAGAGACCCAACAGCTGAGAAAATTCTTGACGATGGTGTCCGCCTCCAGGTTCGGTAGGGGAATATCTTCAGCCCAGCATGTGTACCGAAGGATGCAGGTAAGGAGCTGAATGCTGCCATTGAATGGAGGCAGGGGACCTACGGAATGCAGATGGAAATGGTTGAACCGTACGTGGGGGCCCGGGAATGGACCTGGTGAAAACCTGTGGCGGCGCACATGGTTCCGCTGGCGGTTAAGACACAACTGGGCCAAACTCTTACGTCCTTGTTCGTGCCAGGCCACAAAGACCTTTTCACAAGGAGCTTCGATAAGGATGGGATTCCAGGGCGGGATAGCCCATGAAGAGATTGAAACTCAGCTCGACTCATCGGGGCTTGCACGAAAGGGCGATTAGGAGTTCAGACGTCATAAAGGACTTTCCCAGCACCGTTGGCTATGGAGACGACGGCGACCTTGAGACCACTGATGGACTCGTCACCAGGACAACCGACCCAGCGTTGCTCAGCTGTCATGGCAGTAAGGCAAATCCCATGTGAGAGCTGGTGTGCGGAAGGGGGGGGGGGTCTGAGTAGCTCAACGGTCACCTCACTCTTCGCGCCATCGATATAGCAGACGTCAGTAGTGAATTGCGAGATGTAGTTCAGGTGGGTAGTCTCTCTCGAGTTATATGCCTCCGAGGGGAATCGAAACGCAGACACCAGTTGCTTGTAGCTTGTAAAAATAATGAATTAACGACCTTCAAGAAAGTGTCGGGAATGCTTCATGGTCAAGCAAACTTCGAGTAGTTAACGGCCAAAGGCACTGTATTGCGTTTTAGCCGGCGAGAGTTCTTTGGAGAAGAAAGCTATTGGCCAGATTGAATCAGCAAGTTGTTGTCGGAGAACGATGCCAACGGCTACGCTCGAAGCGTCAACCATAAGGGACAGGGGAATTTGTGGAGCAAGATGCGTCAGCGGGGGGGGGGCATCAACTAGGGAAGCCTTGGTTCGCTCAACAGCAGCCAGTGCCCCACCAGCAAGCTAAAGTGCACCTTTAAGCCCATGCTCGTGAGCGGCAGCATGAGGTCAGTACGAGTTGGTCATGTCAAGAAAACACCGCAACTGACGCTTGGAAGCCAGTAAAGGGAAATCACGAATTGCTTCTTCCTTGGAGGTGGAGGATGCAAGCCGTCCGAGTCAACGCGATGTGCAGGGAGTTCAAGAGATGGCACACCAAAAAAGCATTTGTTAGGCTTGATTAAGACGCTGTACGTGTCGAGGCAGTCAAACACCGAGATGGCGTGCTCCTTGTGTTCCTCAGCATTTCGACTAACTACAAGGAGGTCATCGACGTAGGCACAAACAAACGGCTGACCACGCGAAACAAGTCGCACGAACTTCTAGGAAGTCTGAACGATATTACGAAGACCGATGGGTATTCGGATGAATTTTAAGAGGTCAAGTGGAGTAATAACAAAAGTTCCGGTGATATTCTCGGTAGGCGCACACAAGATCGATTTTGCTTTACCGAAAACGGCTCCAGCGAAATCCTGGAGAGTAGGCTCTGGATACCGATCGGGATTAGTGGCGTTGCTGAGTGCGCAGTAGTGGCCACAGTGTCTTCAGCAACATGTATTTCAACTCCGCCTTCATGGTCTGAGGGCGGGCCAACGTCAGTCGTTTAGGTCGAACAAACACAGGTGAGCCTGAAGTGAGGATGTGGTGCGCAACATCGTGTTTGATATTGCCGCTGATAAGCTAGTGGTTGGCGATGTTCGAAGGAATTCCTGATAAGTACAAACAATATCTCTACGTAGGACAGATAATTTGCAAGAGGTTGTAGAGGGAGCCAACCCACGAACAGATAGATCAGTCGTGTGGTCAAGCAGTCGGGAACGTCGGTAGTCCACGAGCAGATCGAAATTGGCTAGAATGTCCGGGCTGAGAGTTTCATGGGGGACATCGGCAACCACGAAGATTCAAGAAAGCGATCGATGAAAACCGAATTTCAGGATGAAGGACAGGCTACCAAACATGGGAATGGGGGGGGGGGCGCTCGGCTAGGGAAAACAGCTGCACTGATCTTCTGGATGACCTGTTTCGCCCGTCCGATCTGCTTCGATGCGAAGGAGCAGTGACAGTCGCAGTGACGCTCCGGCACCAAATGTGGTATGATGTCAGCAGGTGATAACTGCGCTGGGTCGAGAGGAAGACTTGTGTTGGCCTTGCCGGCTGGACGACGTCAGTTGGATCATCGGTGAAAAGGAGGCCGTCTGAGGTCAAATGGAGGCTAAAGCTTGCGCGAGAGTCGCCATCTGTGAATTCAAGTTTGAAAGAGCAGACGCAGGTGAGGCTGATGAAGTTGAAAATGTTGTAACGGAGAGCTTTACGAAGCCGTGAATTCCTACCAGTCGTTCGGGTGTCTGGGTAAGTTGCACGGTCGAAGGAATGTCAAGGGCGGATGCCAAAACACGTTGGACTTATTCTGGAAAACTGTCCATTGTCAATGCCTTACTATTGCGCAGAATGGCGAGGAAAAGGCTGGTGTAAGAGAAGAAGAAGGGGGGTTGAGCACCGGAGCATTTTGTTTATTGTCCCGAGCTTTCAAACTCGTGCAGGTGTCCATCGTCAGAGATGGTAGCAGCAACAGAACAAGCGACACTTGTCAGATGCGGTTATGTAGCACCATCTAAGGTAAACAAACCCCAGCCGCCTGTAATACAGAACCGGTGGTAATAGGAAATTCCGCAATTGGGTCCGGGGAACGCACAGGCGGCGAGGTCACGTAATTGTATGCAAAAGAAGAGCTATTGGGAATGCGCGTTTGTCCTTTGTGTCGTTGAGAAATAGTTGGTCTAACCCTAACCACCAACCCTCACCCCTGACCCCTAAGCCTAGGCCCCAACTCCCAACCCTAGCCCGAACCCTAACACTAACACTAACCCTTAACCGCAGCCCTAAACCCTAACCCAACAGTATTATGTCCATCAGGTGGGGCTACAGAACCGCATCTTACCGCGACAGTTATGGGGCATGTAGGCCAATCATCGAACGACGACGCAAGACTATAGGTGTTCAGAGGTACGATGCTCGACGACGTGAAGGTTTCAACAGCAGAAGACAGGGAAGATGGATAGATGGACAAGGTTTACCGAGGCGATGTAGCACACAGATACATCACACTAAGCAGCAGCAGCCAGCGTTCTCACGTGTCAGTCAAAATGCAGCCGCGTGAGTTCCCTACGGCGCGGCCAATTGACCAAGAGAGAAATATCGATCGGCGTCATGGCGTTGGCGGAGATTGTCCCACTCGCGTACGCAGCGCTTGACAGGCGAAGTCGACGTGAGTCAGATGCGGAACTAACGCCCCTGCGTGCGGGCGCAACCTAGTGCCTGAATAGGTCATGCGCGTGACACATGCAGACGGTCTGTTGCTGCTGTGCCAACCACTGCGCTCAAATCCCCGCACCGGCTAACTGACCGCCTCGCATAATGGACTAGTGCGTGTGCTATGAAAAGGGGAGTAAGATCGGTACTACGGCATTCATCTATGCGACACACCAGCGCATTCATCGCCATAATAAAGATTACGTACTTGGAAATTGTCAGGATTTGCTAAATGTTGTGACTTGGATGTCTGTCCACTGACTGGATAACTAGGTCCTTGTGTTCAGTAGTGTTTTTGTATGCGAGGCCACTGGAGGACTGGGAGTTAGGCTCACTGGCTCTCTCTTAATGCAGTGCCAATGGATTTTTTAAGGATATTTTATTCGAGACCGCGTCCAGTGAAAACCTGGTACACTCTGCGGAGACCAGGCCGCGTGTGACTCGCAAAAACGAGTTGTTTAGCTTTGTCAGTCATTACGCCCAAGCCCACCCTCGGTCTTCTTGACATTATCTTGCCATCGACACCTAGTAGGTTTGTGAGTAAAGTTCGGTTGATGCCTCCGTATATTAAAATGAAACGACGTTCCCGTTCATTTTCAGTGCTGGGACTTTGTCTGGGCTGATTTATTGCTCACGAGTGTTCACGACATGGACAAGGCGTAAGCGCGCAGTTGAATATTGGTCCTAGGGACATTATCGAAGGCATAAATCCTCAAATTACTTTTACGCCAATAACCAAAACTGTTAATAAAATTACGAAAGCTACGGACTCGGGTGCGTGTGAGTAGGCTATGATCGCAGCATGCACGACCACCTGCGATGATGTGGGAGATGATAATCTCGGTATCTTAGTGGCAGCATGAAAACCGCATCCTATAAAAAGGGCATACCATGTACTCCCACCGCCCTTATTGTTGCTGCCTCTGATGGTGGATTCGAGTGCAAATGGAAACCTACAGGCGAATAAAGTGTTCGTTCCATCGATCAGATCTCATTTACCTCATCCGTTTCATAAACCTCGTATGGTCGCTTTTATCAACGGCGAAAGTCATTGTTACGATGCATGCATTCGTGTGGTCGGTGGTGACGAAGTTGCTGCTTCTCTAACAACCGATGGCCAGCAATGCCACCTATTCCCAAATTCTGGCAACTGATCCACTGAAATGGGTATGCCGAATTAACTCTGAAATAGCAATGTTGGGTCATCTGACTGGAGAAGACTCACCCCCCAAATTTCCTCGGATTTTCTTAACAAAGTTAGCATGAGATCTCAACAACAAATAACTTTTCAGCAATATAAACCCAGCAGATCATATCACGCGGGTCTTGTACACACCGTAAATATTTTATTTAGAACCGTTTGACTTGTTCACCTGAAAACGACTACTAATGTCTGTGCCGGATGCTAAAACCCACAAGACAGAAGCCCTTTTATAGGAAATAGGGTGTTTATACTTTTGGCAATGAACATTTCATCTAGCAGTAATGCTGAAATGTTTGAAGCGATTATTCCAAAATGTAGTTTATTCTCTCTCAGTGCTACCTTGCTATCGATTTCTAGCACCAGCAGTCTTTGAACGATCATAATGGATGAAGGAATACAGTCAGGTGCAACTCAAACTCAATGCTTAAGTTTACACACCCTATCTATCGTCAGATGCTCATCGTTTCACCAGAGAATTCCAAAAACTATCATTGAAACTTGTGATTCTCGATGCTAGGATACATGCTTCCCATGCATCTGCTGACGGGTAAATATAATCGGAAAGCACAGCATACATACACATTTGGCAACCACTAAGTGGCAAAGCCACTGCTTATTAGCAGTAGACGCCTACTCACTTACGCTCACACAGGCTTCGAGCTTTTCCTAAAATAGCTGTTTCGCACTAGTGACTTCTTACCGATGACGGAGGACCATGTAGCTGTGAAATGCTTGAGCGACGGACTGCCTTCAAAGGTCGCAGCGGAAACATCTTCGTGCCGACATGCTCGAAACATACAGAATTACTCGTGACGTAGACAAGGATGAAAACAACTTCCTCTTTCTGTTCAGATCATGGACTAAATTTCCGACGACATCCTCGTATGATCTACGAGTCAATAATAGTCTTAAACGTCAGGCTGACATCGTTTATTTCACGAGCCAATGACGCATGAAATAAGTTCCCTGTCCAGAATTGAAGAAAAGTACCGGCTTACTATCTGAGACAAGTGCTTACGTCGGCTGCGACAGTACCCACATACATTTGGCCTACTTTTAATTCAAACATATCGACAATCAAGGGACCAGACATGAGAAGTTTCCATTTGTATTTTTATAAACTCTGTGCAGCATCGTTCTTACGACATCCTGCACATCTTGCTACAACTAGTGTCCCCTCTAACCGCCTGTGCATTCCTGACCCAGTCCCACCTTATCCGCTCCCTAGTGTCAGGATCAGAAGCGTTCCAGTCCGTTCGGGCTCAAACTCGTAAAGTAGAAAAGACGCCCATTCTTTTAGTTTGTCAAATAAAAATCCGCTCCCTTCGCAATGTCCACCTAAGGCGAAGTGAAGTCAGTCAAATTCATTGTCATGCAGTATAAAGGAGGCAAAAAAATCTAAGGCGCATTCGGCACCTGGACAACCTGCTGGTCAAACAAAAATGCCGGCAGCATTCGTGGCCCTTTGTTCCCCGCACCTATGCGTTCCGCTTTAGCAAATCCATCCCAATGATTGCCAAGAAGGCTGTAGTCCTCGCCTAGTCTTATGTCCCTCTTTGCATACGACATAATTGCTTTCCAAGGTGACATTTGTTGTCCACCAAAGTAGTAAAGGTCATCCAAAGACTCAAATTGTCCACTGGCGTCGCCCAGGTAGCGATGCTGGGTCTGCATCAGCTCATATGCCAGTCGGCAAACTTGTGACGAAAAGGTACAGGACAAAAAGTCTGTGTTCGCTAGCATAATCACGTCGGTTATAATTCCTTGGAGGGAATTTCTACTGCCGCGCTTGTCTACACTGGCGGAATCTGCTCGGGATCTGTCACCAATGAATTCGTAGTCGGGGTACTGCTTCTCGGCATCCGCAAAGACAGAGGGATCATCAGTGGCGAGATAAACCCGGCGTTTGAGGGATGCATTTTTTGACACAGGTGCATGAAGATCCCCAGTCCAGTGATTTTCTGCGTTTGCAATCTGACGCTCGAGTTCCTTCATCTGAAAGAAACGTTCGGCATGCACCATGTACTCCGAAAGCTTGTGAAACTGGGCCTCTGTTCCGACTTTGTCCGTCCGTCGAACATGAATTCCGACAACAGGCTGTCGGTAGCCCCCAATTGGGGCCTCGGTTCGGAGGCTGCTGAGATTAGCTTCTAAGGCACGTTTGAATTCGCCCTCTTTGAGACGAAAGAGGTACTGCAGAAGCTGACCTGCAAACCATGGAAAGGGCGCCCCATGAAGCCGTTCAAGCGCAGTTGCCAAGTCTGCTGGTAGAGCTGGCGGTCGCAGGTTCGAATTCACCATATCAATAATTGGACAATGCAAGTTTTGGCTGTTACTGTTGCCTGTGCTAAATGGCTCTGATCGGGTGTTTCCGGGAACGCAGTTAGTGACAGGAAGGAATTCCGAGTGGTTGGGACCTTGGGACATGTACAGAGTGCGATTCAGAGCAAAAGCGACAGAAAAGCAGTAGACCCAGTGGTGTACACGGCAGCCGAACCCACAAGCTTTCTCCGTTGTGGTGAGTAAATAGCGAGCTTTCCGGCAGTCTGGTGGATTTTGGAGGCTGAGGATTCTCTCTTGGACAGTTTTCGATAAGGCATCAAGCTGGGCAACAAGTCCTTCCGCTTGTCCATCCACCCGACTTGCGCCCGAGAGTTTTGTCTCGAGGAGGAGAGACATTTTGGAGAACCAGTCGAGCAGATCCTCTGAAGAGAGCTTCTCACTGGCAGCCACACCTGAACCCGATAGTTGGGATTTAGCCAGCCGTCGAATCTCTCGAGTGATTTGTCTTGCCTGCCTGAAGAGTATGTACTTGCTTTCAGTGCGAGCGATGGGTGCGGCCTTAACGACCTCCTCGGCTGAAATTTTACTTTCCGGGCCATTTGGAGGTAACTGTTCCGTGGGGTACCGGCTTGACTGTCTTAGCACCATAATTACTATCAGCAGAAACCATATCGTCAAGAGGAAGATCCAAAGTTTTCGCCCGACACTCATCGCATTGTCAGTGTGCAACAGTTTAAAGTCTGCCTGAAAGGCCCTATCGATCTCTCCCTGTTGATTGACGGCGCAGTCACCCAATCAGACGTGAGCTTTCGCGAACTTGAATCAACGCGACTTATACTGCATACTCAGTTGGGGGCGAAGAAGTAAAAGTAGAGTTCGCCAGACTGCATTAACACGTGGCAAATAAAGGTTTCTGCGAATAGAAAGCACTGTCTGGTGCTGGCAGTACTTGGTGCAAGCTCATTGGCTGTAGAGACTGGCACGTTTAAACATGCTTGCTGCACTTGGCGTTGTGCGACTTGCCGTGTTCGGAGGCCAACACATACGTAGAACATCCACTAGCTGTTTCTGTGCCATGGTAAAGACATTATTGTCAGTGACCTTTCTAGACGGTAGACCTTCCAGTTACTCGAGCCAATGTCTCTGAGCAGGTGACATTTATCCCCAAGAGGACATTGATTCTACCCCACGCACCTGGCGCGACAATGGTATTTTGAGATCGAAAGATCGAGGTACCAGCTGTTAACTAAAGAAAATCAAAAGAAACTAAAACGCACTCATTTATGTTAGCCATTTTGAGGCAAAGTGGGCCGGTGTTAGTACACGCATTTTAGCTCAGATGACAATCGCAATCATTCACACTAAGATTGACTAAATCATACTTCATTTGATGTCATAAACTGGAACTTGCACAACATAATTCGGGAAATCAAAACACCAGCAAAATGATTCCTGACTGCGGAAATTCGATAGAGACATTGAGCAGGCAAATATAGAGGTATTAATGTCCTACCCATTAAACATATGAAAGTGCGCCAAAGTTGTATACACTAACAAACCGGAGGTTTTCGCTTGGGTCTTGGAAATCCGATGACATTCCTAGTACGCACTTGTGCCTTGATCATCCGTCGAAGTTGTGTTCACTGTCGCAGAAGCCGGAGGGTCAGCGCATGAAAACAGCGTTCTTTTAGAAACTTTGTCTCGGTCATCCTGGCGGGCTTCGCAAAGACATCGAGCAGGAAACTGCATGCTAATAGTCGAGAGGAAGGATTCCAAATAAAAAAGTACGTCATAACTGGGTATGCTGAACTCAAGAGTGTCGGTTACTGATTGGGAGGACGGCAAAATTCATTTTAAACGAACCCGCTCTACATTAAAGACCGCATACTTCTCCATTTAGTAGGTGTGCTAACTCAAGAAATGTTAACGGAACTTCTGAAATGCGTTTTCAAGTCAAAAAGATTACTCAAGTAGGGTTTTAAAATTAATCATCATGCAGCATAATTCCATAATAATTCGGCTACTTCGGGAGGCTGAATTTCACATAAACATCTTTCCGGCCGCATCCAAAAATGACACTCTGTAAAAAATGACTACTTATATAGCCTGCATTTTTCCCAGTGATTTTCGATGTTCTTAAAAATCCAATTATATTTCATCGAAAAAATGCATAAAAACATCCATTCTTCTAATCTTATACTCAAAGAAATGCCATAATTCGGTTTTTAAAAATTTTTAGTCCCAGAATAAGTTTGAATCCGAGCTGCCGTTACACTTGCATTCAGAATTCCTAAACTACAATCCTTTTTTTTCTGCGTACGGAAAGCCAACCTTTCTCTACAATATTAAGAGGGGACTATATGAGGGTTTAGCAGCGGCTTAGAGCCATGTTGAAAACAGTACACGCAACATAAGTGAATGCCGAGACACGATGTTTTATGAAGGGACATTTCACAGTATTAAAAAACCGAATTATGCCCTCCTTTTGAGTATAAAATTGGATGAAGACGTTATCTTCTACCAACTGAGTAAAAGAATGAATATTTTTATGCATGTTTTCCATGAAATATAATTGAAATTTTGAGGGCATCGAAGATCAGTGAGAATAATGCATGCTATTTAAGTAGTCAATTTTTACGGAGTATAGTTTTTGCATGCAGACGGACAGAAGTTCGCTTGAAAGACGGCACGCTGAGGTAAATGGATTATTTTTGAAATATGTTGCGAGATGATTAGTTTTACAACCCTACTTAATTCATCTTTTCGAAACGAAAACGCATTTCGGATGTTCGGTTGACATATAATGAGTTGGCACAGCTACTGTACGTCTTAAGTTATGATGAAGAAATAAGACCATTCCATGAAATCCCTCAAAAGTGCATGCACAATTATAGACGTACGGTTAGTGTCGAGACCTAATCGGAGATAGGCTGACATATATAAAACCACTCTGAAATGCGGGCCGTAAGCCGATCAAGTTTTTTATTTTGATTTCTAAGAATCACAGCTAAAGCTAACTAATGCAACATACAGGCGCAGATGCGAGTTCCAGGAAGCAGTTCAAAAAAAGAAGACACTGCGACCAATGAAATAGGAAATGTGTTGGCCTGGTGCAGGTGGAACCACGGTAGCTACGTGCTAGAAATATTACAGTCTTTGTGCCTCCACTACCTTTATCTGCTACCGTCTCCGATGATGGGTTCGAGTGAGAATCCGAAACGTTAGGTGAATACATTTCTCGTTCCAGTGATCGCATCTTCTTCTCCTGAACTGCTTCCTGGAACTCGTCTATTCGCGTCTATCGACAATGACTCGAGTGTCTAACAGCACAGGGCAAGAACTGCTGGAGGCCAACAACCATGCAGAGCAGCATACCGACTTTTCCCCCTGAATAACATGTACTGCGCGCACAGCGCCATATACCATGGCATCGTTCCAACCCAACGACACACGCGATCGATGCAGGGTGAGAAAACGGACAGAGGTTGCATATTTGTTATTGAAAGTCCATTTTCTCAGACAATGTGAGTCTGTACGGGTCTGAAAGTTCAGACAGACACAACAATTGCCCTGACAATCGTATATTCTTTCTCTTTGCAGGAACTTAAATTAGCATATTTGTCTCTAGTTCATGTAATACGATGGGACACTTGGGTTTTCTTTTATTATTAGCCTTCTAACTGACTGATATCAAGCGGAATTTCGGTGAACTTGACTGTAAAATCATGCCATGAGCAGAACTTATTTTCATTGATCCATTTGTCACGGCCTCGGTTACAATCAATTATCTCTCTTCTTTGGTTGGCGACATCCATGAGACCCGACCTACATGGATAAGGCCGGACTGCACAATCAAAGAACACCTTAAGTCAGTTTTGGGGTGTTATACAGTGTGGCCCAAATGAAAATGAACTCCAGTCGTTATACAATTTGCAAATAAATTGCAGAAAAGTTCATTCTACAAAATTAAAACAAATATTCAAAAATGTAAACCATTATTTGCCGTACAGTTGCGATATCGCTCAATGAATGGATTAGTTAATTAATTTACACCTCCGGCTTAAAAACCCGCTGCTTACCAGATTTGTCAGCATTCGCAGTATGGGCGGTTCGTCCAAATTTCTGCATTTCGTAGACGGTCGATTTTGACGGAGGTGGTGTATCAGATGATTAATTCCAATGATCCCAAACTTTTTTATATCCTTGGCCCGATAAATAATTTTTAACAGCATGAAAAAGTTCTTCACCTTTAAATTGCGTCGTGTGAAGGACATATTTAGAATCAAAAAGGCGATACTAAATTCAAAATTGGTCAAAACAAGGACATGTTTATGCCCATTAAAGGTGATATAAACAAGGTCTACTCAAGATTCATTCTCGAGGTTTGCGTTTTGAACATTTGATGTAACTTTATATAACAAAACTGGGTTTCATTTATTTGTACTTTTTAATAATAATTAGGGTTCGGCTACATCTGGGCCATCCTGTATGTTCTAAATCGGATGACGTTTCAAAAGAGGAAACAGCCTGATGAAGGGCTTCAGTTAGATTTCACATTTGATGTTGTTGTACTATGGTGACTCATAAGACATCATGTCCATTCCTGATCCCGTTTGTCTAAAAAACGCCGATTAGAACAAAGTGGCCACCAAGTAAAAAATACGGAGCGGTCCCTTAACTATTTTTTTGCCAAATCGCAGTTGGAAGCCGGGCCTTGTATTACAGGTGGTGGGGGGTTTGTTTACTGGGGCTATTTAATGGGGCTCTATAATCACATCTGACCCATTTGACTTCCGTTTTACGTTAGAGGTTAGGATGAGGGTACCGATTAATGGTTTCCGATTTTCGGGTTAGGGTTATGCCTTCAGGTTTAGATTATCGGGTTACGTTTAGGGTTTGAGGGTACGATTAGGTTTCAGTATTACGGTTAGGTTTTTCAATTGCGGCTATGTCTAAGGACTACGGTTACGCTTACGATTTCAGTCAGGGTTAGAATTAGGCTTGTCGTTAGGGTTAACGGTTAACGTTTAGGGCTAAGGTTAACGATAGGGTTAAGGTCGCCGTCCACTTCCCCATCCAACACGGATGATGAAATTGCGGAATTAAGCGACTCGGACATGGACTGACGAGCCATCATCGTCTTTATTACGACCTCCAGCGGCGATAACGAGAATTGCTAATTGTAGTACATATGCCGGCCCACGGCAGCTAGGTGCTAGAAATATTACAGTCTTTGTGCCTCCACTACCTTTATCTGCTACCGTCTCCGATGATGGCTTCGAGTGAGAATCCGAAACGTTAGATGAATACATTTCTCGTTCCAGTGGTCGCATCTTCTTCTTCTTCTTCTTCTTCTTCCTCTAATGCAACCTAGTCATTCCGACTTTTTGCTGACAGGTACCATCGACATCTCTAGCGTCTTTGTTCCCTGGCTCCCGGCATCAGGATCATTTACCTTTGCAGTATAATTTCCAGACGCGTTGACCTGCAGTTGCTCGACCGACTTCAGGGCCGTTTGATCATCGTATTCGACGAGGTCCACTGTGTGCACCACGGAATAGTGGTGCAGGACAGTGACTTGTACATGAATTAGTTTATACTGGTAATAGACATGCGCTGCATCTACCGATCTCTCTCTCTCTTCCCCT